GGCTCAAACCAGTTCAACTGGGCAGAGTGAAAAAGAGAGACAGAAACATCCATCGTTGGTACTTCAATGCTCTTTCGAATGCTTTCAACTTTACCAGTGAAGAACTTCAAGAAGTCGTCACATTTACCTAACGGCACACCTTGGGTGATTCTGGTAGACGGACAGATGAGAGAATTTATGGTACTAAAGAGGACCTTAGAGTTATGGTAGTTCTTTGAAATCATGTCAGAGAAATGTTTTGCTCTTGGTGCCTTAACTTCTTGCTGGTACCTTAACAGCTGGTCCTTTAAGATATTATAGGAAATCTGGAGCTTATCCTGCTTCCATTTCCGCTCAGTATTACGACAATCGCTCCTTAAGGCTCTAGTTGTGTCAGTGAGCCAAGGTTGAGATTTTGGTTCAGGTTTTTTTTTTTATTTAAAGGGAGCAATGGCCTCTAGAATGGAGGAGCAGGTGGAATTAAATAAGGTAGTGAGTTCCTCTGTGCTGAGCTCGGGAGGTGAGGCCTCAATGATGTGAATGTTTGGGGCAGCTATGAGGGCAGCTGAAAAAATACTAGCGGTAGAGGAGTTAATGTGGCGAGAGCAGCGAACAGGAAGGAGAACAGTTGACTGAGAAACAGGTCGAGAAACTTTAAACATAATTACACTGTGATCTGAGAGGTGAGGGCCAATTATTTCCATATTAAAAACAGGACAACCAGTTGTCAAAACTAAATCAAGTGTGTGCCCAAATTTATGGGTGGGACCAGTTACATGCTGTGTGAAATTAAAAGATTCAATTAAATTAAGAAATTCACCAACTAGTGGTTTGGAAGGACAGCACACAGGGATATTAAAATCACCAAGAATCAGCACGCTGTCATATTTCGACATTATCTGAGATAAGAGGAATTGAGGAATAAAGTTGTTATCAGGTTTAGGAGGGCGATATACCAAGATAATTAACAAAGGGTGTGCCGTCCATACTTTAAGAATCTGTACTTCAAAACTGGAGAAACAACCCGGCGGTAGGCATGTGCAGTTAAAGTTGTTTCTAAAAACGACTGCAAGACCCCTGCCCCGTCCGGAGCGGCCCCGCCACATTAGCATTCAGTGCAAATTAATAGTGATAATCTGATTTTGTTTTGAGCTTATTCTGAAAGAAATGTCACATTTCACAGAAACGTTTTGACCTAAAAGTTGAGTCATAACTTTTAGGGACCAAGGATGGAGCTGTGTGTCACATCTTGCTCTCTCCTAATGAAGGACATTGCATTATCTGCACCGCACGCAGCATGATTGTTGTTGATGTTCTTCAAAGCACTTCTTGCAATTGCCATTGGGGCCAATTTTAAATAATGGTTCTAGGAAAGATGAGACCTCTGCATTTTCCTCTTCTAATCATCCAGAAAATGGGGACAGAACTTCTCCTGTGTTCATCTGGGGAAATGCATCAGGCACTTTGGTAGCAGGTAACATAGAAACGCCAATTATCGTTTCCCTCCTGAGCTGCTTGCTCATTACTCTCACTTGGAGAAGGATATCGTTTTCCCTGCCATTTTTTCTCCTTTGCTCCCATCTTGTTAAACCGTTTTCCTCTTCTCCTATGCAAAACACCTTGGTACTTTGTTTACAAGTGCTTAAAGGAGAATAAAGAAAATTATGTAATGGAAAACTTCATCTAATTGTGCCGCTTGGGCTTTTAAGGGAACGGTGTAGCAGTTGAACTTATCAGAGTTTTGAAGGTGTGGAGCTTGAGTTTAGGACAGGAGGCGGTGGAGAGGATAGAAAACACCACATTCAAGAAAAGGTGTAAATATCAAAGACTGAATGTTGTTAGATTAAACCTGGAAATCCAGCGATTGTTGTCATGGATACTAAAAGACACTATTTTGCATCATGTGTTGTTTATCTGTGGTTTAATTTGTGATCAGGATTTAAAGCATTAATAATAAATGATATGATTTCACTGTTAATGCTGAACAATTTTATTGATTCTGAAATCATAAGAGCATGTTGTTTACTCTTTCGAGCGGTCTTGAAGCTGTTGCTGTGGGTGGTGATGAACTGTTCCACGCACTCCCTCAGGCCTTCATACTGTAGTTAAACAGATATTTATGACTCATCACCAATGTCTTTGCATGATTTGTCCTAAGAACTTTTTCTTTATTTGTGTATCCATGTTTTCTTAAGAATAAGGCAATCATTTTCTTTTGTTATCTGTTATTCAGCAAACCCCATGAAAAGACTGAAACCAACAAAGCAAAAGTAGTTATACTCTCCTATTTCCCAACCCTCCCTTTGGTCCCCGCACCTGTTTACTTCAGAGTTAGCAGGTAACTACTACCTTTTAAAAATATATATATATTAAACTAACTGGCCACTACCTTGGCTGCTGAGAAAAAGTGTGTTTATATTTCCTTTACACAGTGGCTTACTTCTGCCAACTATACTATAGCCCTTTTCACACATAAGGAAATCTCCTGAAAAACTCTGGAGATTAGGCTACCTGGAGGGGCTTTCGGCTATATGTGAAAGCAAACAGCCAAATTTTTCACACTGACTTTACACAGAGTTTCTCCGGCCAGACCCCTAATATTTTTTCTGCAGAAAGTCCGAGTGAGCTGATGTATGAACGCAGATGACGTTTATATACAGTGACTGCCGAAAGTGTCTGCACGCGACTGCTACGATCTCAGTATGTTGTTCTCAGCTCTTTTGTTGATGTCGTCATTCCACTGGATTACACATAACATTGATATAAAGGCAAATATTCTCATTATAGCATCGTGTAGCGGACTCTGTTGCTCCGGCCGCTACTTCCGCGTTGTTTATTTACGTCACGTCTTACCTCATGTAGTCCTCATGTTATCTAGATATTATCCGGAGTGCATATGTGAAAACAGCTTATGATTATCTTTTTTAAAAGGCAACTTTCAGGTTGGAAACCCCAATTAAACCAATAGGTAAGAAAATGGTCAAAATATATTTTTGAAGAAATACATGAAATGGTACTCTGCAATGACTTCTGGAATCACTTATTTTTTTTTTTTACATTTGCTTTTATTGATTATTAACAAATACTGTTATTTAAATGATGCAGCTTTTCATATTACAGTCGGTTGTACTCTGATTTTTAAAAGCACTTTCTGAATAAAATTGGAGTTCAGGTGACTCTAACTGTTTGTTTCTATTATTATTAATTTCATCAGTAAAATATGACTATCACTTCACGCAGAGAAAGAGAAAGAGAGGAGTGAGAGCAATGACAGTTACCTGATACTGTAGACTTACGACTCAGTACCACAAGTCCTCTATGTGATGTATTAAGACACAATTACCAAAAATAAAATGTTTTAGCAGCTTTACAGAAAATTGCCACTTTTTCCTCTAACTTTCTGCCTTTATACCAATATCTAACAGCAATTGCAAAAAAATTAGAACAGCGGCATGTCGCTTTCGTTTTTGTTTATTGCTTAAATTTTGCAGATGAAGTAATCGGTCCTGAAAATGGTGCCTTAAACCCCTTGTCTCAAAATGTCATTGCTAATATTTCACCACTAGATCTTCTTTTATTTCAACCAGCCATTGAATAATAAAGAAAACATGAAACTTATTACTGTAATTCGTGTAAACAGGTGTATTTTTCCATTGCGCCTCCTTAAAAGTCTTCATGAATTGGATGGTTGTTTTAACTATAAATAATTACTGAACAAATCTAACATGAGGTTGTGCTCTGACATGTTTGCTTCATGTATGTTTTTCTCGGTCATCCTGTCAATATTGATATTTGCCATCAGTAATATACTACAAAAAGGTTTGTATCATTGATTTTTGTGACACTGCAGCATGTTGGGGAAAACAATCGATGTGTCTATATGCTTCAGAAGAACAGCAGTTCTCACATACAGTAGAAAATATATACCAGGGGTTTAACTCCTGGATGTTGTAGCTTTATAAAGTTCTTTGAAAACATTTTGTTATAGTAATTTACATAGCAAGAAACTATGATTTACAGATTTTAAAATTGACTGTTTTTTTTTTTCGAAAAACACATAATATCTTGTTGGTGCAAACTCAGCAGTTTCTGTCTGACAGCAGACATGCTGAAACTTAATTATATCCTTCCACTTCAGTGGCAGCATTATTTTGGTTCTTTGACAGCTTATAAACCAGACATTGTTAGAAAGGCAAACAAGTATGAAGCATGCTACAGGTTATTAAAAACACAGACAGATATACACAGCAGTACACACACACACACACACACACACACACAAACACTGTACAAAAGCAATCAAGCACAGAGCAATACAACTCATTGGCATGTGGCGCAACGTCTCCAGCCTATAATACTTTAATAGTTAAAAAGCAAAAGAGAAGTGAAAAGCTCAGCAGCGGGTAAACATTAATTTGCTGCAGGATTTTTTTTTGTACACAGAGAGTTCAATCAGTAGCTCAATGCCATGCTGTGTGCATTTGGAACATTAATTCATATGCAGTTTGTGCAGAGGATTAGCTGCTTATGAGGTGTAAAAAAAAAGTTCAAGGGGAAATTTTTGTTACCTGATTAGTAATGTTAGAGGAAATTTCTGTGGCCCTCTGGTTAATCCCCCCTCGTACATAAAAAAATAGACAATGAGTTTTAAGTATGAGATCATTGTGTCAATCTGTCAGAGGCTAATTTGAAAAGATTAAAAAGTTATGTGTATAATTGCAGCAATTGGAGGCTGCCTCTATGGATCCTAAGATGACTATTCAGTGTCTGTGTAAATGTAGTGGTGTAGTAAAGGGTTTTATACCCCATAGAGCAGCTGGAAATGAAAGATTTATTGCTTTGTTGTTACAAACAACATTTAAAAGGCTTAAGTAATGAGTTAGTAGACAGTAAAGGTCAGATATAGGACACTCAAAGCTTTGCTGTAGTTTAGTATGACCAACACAGGAGAACGTTCCACTTGGAGGCGGTGGGAGGGGGGGGGGGAGGGCGGGGGGAGTTTCTGAAATGGTTCTGCCCACCTTGGTAGTCACTGTGAGGAGGGGCTTCCCTTCTGATGACGCCTTACTGGGTATCTCCTTCAGGACCATGGCAACAGTCTTATCTGCAGCCCTAGAGTCTTTCCCCTACAACAGTGAGATCAACAATGACTTGTGTCAGGAAAGTTGGACAACTCAGAGCTTTTTGCCCCCGTCACGGGGCATCTTAGAGAAAAGATTTAACTTTGTGATGATGGAAATACTGTGTGGGGTCGTCTATAGTAACACAACATCAACTAAAAGACATTTCCACAAGACTATGGTAATGAAAACAAGGTTACTGCACAATGTAGAGGGTATAGACGATGATGAGCATGGTCGTCCACAGCAGAATTTGACAGAATATCATACATAGCTCATTACACAAACCAAAGTATTTCTAGCACTTATGTACAATGTAAGACAGATGAATGGTCACGTCTACCCGGCAGAAGGTTTCAGAGCTACAATATGTATGTGAAAATCCCAAGAGTAAGATTATTGATTAGCTCAAACATCAGTTCTCAGAGTGTTGCACTGAGGTATCTGATGCAACCTTCCAATACCATCAACAATTAGTCTCAAAATAATCCACAATATAATAATCCAAAATTGTTCTGACAATTACAAACAGTGTTTAGGTAGCAGAGAGTTGAATGTAAGTCAAAGCTATCAAAATGTCAACAGTCACTGTTTGTCCACAGATAATTTCTATCATTTTTAAATTGATCTGGAAGACCCAGTATTGGCATATACTTAAATCTTCTTATTGGAATCTGTATCAAGAAGGAAAAAGTGGTATCTGAAAATCTCTAGTGTCAGTAAAATTAAGATAGTTATTTTATCCGTCTTTAGCTGATCAGTTAAAGGGATACTTCACCCGTTGAAACAGGAATCTGTATTGACATTGGGTCATATATGTAGGAGAAATGTGAAATACATTTTGAAGTTGGTGCCTTCTTGACCGAGAAAAGGCAGAAAGTGTCTTTTTGGCTCATGTGGATGAAAGACACCAAATCCCAGAATGCACAGCACTCGGCCACTCCCACAGAATCAGAAATACTTTATTAATCCCAGAGGGAAATTCGATCGTTACAGTTTCTCCAAAATATACAGTATAGCAGTAGAAATATAGTATTAAAAACATTTACATATATATTTACTTCAACACATACGGCCATTTCCTCAACTGATTCCGAAATTTCTTCCAGAATTGATCTTGGAAATTCCTGGCAGGAAACAGACTCTATGTCTGTGTCCATAGGCAAACAGTGAGAGCACCGACACTACCAGCCCGCCCCAGCTCGAGCCGGCCCGGCTCCTCGTCCTCACCGCCGCCGACAGGCAGGCCTTATGTCTCGACTGCTGAGCTGGCAGCGGCGGCCAGCAATATAGCAATATAGCTGCGAGACGGTTGCTGCCGACAGGCTGGTCTTGTGTCGCGGAGGCCGGTGTCGCGGTGGCTGGTGGCTAGCGACGGCCAGCAGCCGCAGCAGCCAAAACGAGGACGAGGACTTTCTCTATAGAGCCTGTTAGCATAGCTTCCAAGCAATATGGCAGACGTTTGGTCTGTAGCTTCAATGTCAAAAATATGAGGAACTAGCGATGTAGTTTCACCCTGCTAACCGCAACAGCTTCCAGTGACGCAAAAATTTCATTTTGCGTCACTGGAAGCTCCTTTTCAGACTCAGAAATACAAAGATTTCCTATCTCAGGGGAAAATGAGGGCAGGATGCACGACCATTCAAAAAAACTACCAGGTTCTAATGATTCAAAGCTTAATGCAAATGGGTGAAGTATCCCTTTAAACATCATACCCCAAAAGACCAAAGTAATTAGAAAAAAACTGATTAGAATAAAAATGCTTATTCAGAAAGAAATTTAATTCAGAATGAGAGAGGTGTTTTATGTCAATTGTTTTTCAGATCAATATCCATGTACACACTTGATCTATAGTCGTGTCTTCCTGGTTGTGGTAAAGCTATTCTTACTATTCATGTCTGCACCTCTCTTCAACTGCGTATGTCTGGAGGTCCTGCAGACTTGCTCTCTCCCCTGTTAATCGATTTCAGGGTAATTATGTACTACTGAGCTTGCAGCTTTTGAAACAGAAGGAAAAAAAAGTTAGAAAAAAGGGAAAATAAAAACTGACCAACGTGACTGACCAAAGTGTTGGACACGAGAGGAGGAGAGTGAAAACTCTGGCACACAGTGAGGGTTAGCGGAAGAGATACATCTAGAGACCTGCAGCGACAGCGGCGGTTCTTACAACACAGGCGGAGTCATCTTGTACAGTGACTCTGGCCATGCTTACCAAAAAACTAAACCGAAAATAATAACGGAGGTTTAAACACACTTAAGTTCTGCTTGAAATGGCTCCTACTCCGGAGAAAAACTTTACTGACCCACGCCCATTGACAGAAACATGTTGATCATCCGAACTGAATAAGACCAGCTCTGTGCATTCCAAAAGTATTTCATTCTGATGACATTCTTGATGCATGGACACGCACCTCATTATCAGATCACTTTATTTAGCCTCCATGTAAACAGTGAAGTTTGACCCTCTAATCAGAATGTTTTTAAATGGATTGAAGAAATTCTGTACATGCAAGACACTCACTGTCTACATTATATTCCATTTGTAGACTCAGAAAAGAAAGCTGTCCCGGCTGAACAAGAATCACATTTTAGGCATTTAATCTGGATCTTAGCTACACATTTCTAACTCCCATGAAAAATGAATTACACTTTTTTTTCCCCCCACTGATCATGACACTTAACGTGTGTGCCAGCTCTTGAGAGTTCCCTTGAAAATCTTAATGCTCTTAATAAAGTCCTAAAAGCCACCTGTGCCCACTCTCCGGCTCAGTCTCCCTGGGTATAAATGAACAACACCTTAAACCAAGAGGATAACATGAACAGAGGGGCATTCACACACTCAGAGATGACCCAGAAAAGCTGTACTCAAACACTAACATTGATTTTTTTAGTTGGTTTCACTAAATGGCAGATGAAGCTTTTGGAAAAGTGCTGAATGTCATCGCTGTGCCGTATGTGCAGGTATTGTGTGAGCCAACAGTGTCTCACAGTCAGTTTGTAGTGGCTCACAGTGTTGGCAGGGCTTGATGTGTTGTTTTGTATCAACTTTTGCCAAGGTAGCTTTTATTTTTCTAGGAGTGATTACACAGGTAGTGGATAATTTTTGGGCGGACAACTGCAGTGGACAGCTTCGAGGAACTGGATATGCGTTTGCAACTTTGTTATACAACACAGCAGATGAAAATCTTGACGTTAAGATAATGAAATGCTTAAACCCTGGAGAACAGAGGGTTCGTATTTGAGAGCACTCAAGCTGCAAAGTATGAAATATGAATTCTTAACTGTTTAAAAAAAAAAAGATGATCTGTTTACAGTGATGGAGCTTAATGAAACAACTTGAACACATTATCATTTTATTGTTTTCTTTTCTAATACAGCAGAATGTGAAAAAGATTGAATCACTGTGGGGATGTTCTCCAAGATAAAATCAAAAACAAATTATGTTCAGCAGATGAGATTGACTGCAGCATTCTGCAAACAGTTTAATCAAATCATTAGTTGCTGATCCTGGCAGAGGACATAAATGTTGCTGTTTATCTCGAGGCTCTGAAAATCCATTTACAATCTCCCAGTCAGCATGCCGTGTTCATCACTGAACTAATACATTTTTGCAGGAAAGTGTATTACCAAGCCATTCTCGAAGGTAGGACTGAAACGCTTTATGAACTTAATGGTAAAGTTAAACTGGAAAGTTCAGCCATAATTATAATAATCTGTCGTTTGTCCTCATCTGCAGAGAGTTTGTTCCACATGCAGTAAGCAGCATTTATTTTGGGGAACAGCATCATTACTTGAAAATGCTCTTTTTGCAGAACAGCAATTGTGCTCTGAAGAAAAAAAACACAGAGGAGAGAGAAACCTGACTTAGCAGATCATCTCATTGACCAACTATTGCACTCTGCTTCCTGTCTGAGTTGCTGTTTTCAGAGTCCAGATCTAGAGTCAGCAAAAGGAAACAATGCTGAATCCTTAATGTAAGAAGCTAATGAAAGCCTACTTAGTCCAGAAGACTTTAGAAAGTGGTAGATGAAGGCCTTGGAAATCTGATAAGCTGTGATTTTAGGTGGCTTAAGGTGAAACCAACAAGACAGGTTTGAGAGCAAAACCTTCCCCACTACTTGAAAAAGTCATTGAAGTGCTTGTTTGCGAGTGCACCAGTTTTGTCTCAAAAGCTTTGCTCCTCTGTTCAAAAGTCTGTTTGCTTCAAGTCGGACTGGATCTAGTTAGTCGAGTACGCTTAAGGATATAAACACTTTTACTTGCCGGTCTTAATAAGAGTGCCAGATTGGTTTACCATTTACTGTTGGAGTATGAGAGTGAGAGTTTTGGTGTCCATGAAGAAGACAGTAGTTCTATCGACAATGGTGCATGTGATTTCTAATGTGAAACTGTAATAGATACATATACTGAAAGACATATTCAGTAAACATGTAGCTGCTAGCTAAACTGAGTTGACTAACTTTAGTCACTTGCTCTTCATAATAATGCCACCTGCCCAGCCTGCCGTTAAGCCGGTACGAGGCTTTACATTTTCAGATGTTGAAATGGATTTATATAAAGTACTGAAGGAAGTCTACTCGTTGCCCCACTTTTCTTTTGATTGCAAAGCAGAGCGTTTTCTCTTAAACCTGTTCTGTTTGTATATCCCCTTCAATCTACTGAAAGTTAAAAAGTTCAATATATGATAAAAGCTTTTTGTGTCAGCTCAATTAAATTAGTAAGATTAGTGTTGGTGCCTTTCTTTGGATTTCCAGAAAAATAGACTAAAACAGAGTTAATCAACCAAAAAGGCACAGAATGACTTCTGTACACTGAGGGTAATGCATTTCAAACACTAGAGGCATGGTGGTCCAGATTAATGAGGATAATGATAATATTTTTAATGCACAACAGCAATATTACAATATACCACCTTTTGATGCATTCACAAGAGAGCAATGACATAAAAATGACCATTGCTTCCAAACAAGAAAGTGTCATGACTAAACCTCTTTAGAGAGGAAAAC